GTGACCTCGCTGACGCAACAGGTTTTTTGTATTCATCCCTATCTTGTTTCTGTACTTTTTGGCGTTGCCATCCCTATTTTTAATTTTTTTTTTATTACTTTATCAATTAAGTGTGTACATTTAAATCATAATACGGTATCAACTATTCGAACCTGTACTACTACTAGTAATGACACTACTTGTGCTAATATTCTGTCAAGTGATAGTTCTGTTGCCAACAAGTCCGTGGAGTGTAGTGAACAAGACAATCATGTCAAGAAATTCGTTACATATATGGTCTAAAACTGAAAAAAATGTTTTCCTTTAAAAAGTTTCGCTTTTGTAGCAACTTTTCACTACTGAACGATAGTTAACTCATCTTTAAATAATAATATTAATAGAATGAAAATTATTTCTGAGTCATTACCATTTAGAGTGATTTGTATTGGCAAGTACTGTCTACTGAGCAGAGCACGGCAACTCTCTTACTGATGTGACGTCAGAGTTACGTATATGCCGCCATCTTTAAACAACGTCACTTTTTTCCACGATCAGAGTGCGAGCTGATGAAAATGAAATTTCTCAAACATCGTCGTAGATGGCACTTGCTAGCTCATGCAGACACGGTTCTTAGTGTTTTAGTTGTCCAATTACGAAAATTCAAGTGCAACTGATTATAGGCATTTTAAATAGAGTTTTGCTACCAACGAAAAGATTTGCAACTAACAGCTTTTATTTGCAAACTTTTCTACATATATGCATTCTGGTGTTATTATCTTGTTAATTGATATACTCATAAATTTACTTAGCTACACGTATTATGATAAAAAAAAAAATTAGTTTATATACTTTGCTCCACAATAACTTGAAAGAAGTATATGGGATCGTTAAATTCAACTACAAAAGGGTATAATAATGGTTGGAGACGGCTTCAATGGGTAATGAAGAAAACTTTAATATAAGTTTAACATATTAGTAAATGTACAACGTTTCGACAAGGTTGATGACAAAACGTTGTACATTTAC